GTTCGGTTTTTAACATTTTCGCAACATTTTTTATTAAAAAAATGTGCAAAAACCTTTTTTTCGTGAAATTATTAATAAAAAACGTTTTTGTAACGTTTCCTATTAATAAAATAATTAAAAAACGTGCGAAAACGTTTTTTTATTAAATTACTTAATAAAAAACGCTGCAAAACGTTAATTACTTAATAAAAACGTTTTCGCAACGTTGTTTGTTAAAATAATTAAAAACGTTTGCGAAAAACGTTTTTTTTTATGAACTTATTAATAAAAAACGTTTTCGCAACGTTTTCTATTAAAATAATTAAAAAACGTTGCGAAACGTTGTTTATTTGTTAAATTACATGTTAAAAAACGTTTTGCAACGTTCTTTAATGTTTTAGAGGTCTTAAAATCATGGGGACAAAATTTCTTGAATTTAAATCGGTCCGGTCCCGGTCCGGTCCGGTCCAGGTTGAAAGACCGGTCTTTTTGGGACCGGACCGGACCGGACCGATCCAACCCTATAAAAGACATAACTATAATATAGATTTTTTATTAATTTACTTGCGAGATATGTTATATAGTTTGCGTGATGATGTAAGTTGGTTTCAGGAACTTTTAAGAAGAATTAAAGATTTATTAAAACCCATTTTAAATATTACACCATCGTCTAAAGTTACTATTTCAGATGAAAATTATTCAATTGAATCAATGATTATACAATTACGCCAAGGTTTAAGTTTTAAATATTCAGTACCATCCTATTATATTGATTGCAAAATTATATTAATAATTCAGCATAATCTTTTTATTTGGTCTGAAGGTTCTGAAAAAATAATCAGTAAAAAATATGCAGAAATGATATTAATAGAATATATTTGGAGTTTTTTAGAAAGAGAATGGACCAATATTACTGATGAATCTATTTTAGATTCTCAAGCGAAATTTGATATAGTATCAGATAGATTTGCAAGAGCATCATTAAAAAATACTGGGAATTTTTTAAATGGTATTGCTGGAAATGAACCTCTTGCATTACCACATACTTTATGGTTCGGATTATTGGATCTTGCACAAAATCTTATTCAAAAATCTACTCACATGGCAACATATGGTCTTTGTTATTATATGGCAATTGAATCACTTAATAAAGCTCCAAGCAACTTTATTCAATTTAAGGCAATTGAATTATTATTACATTTATATAATATTGATAACCAAACGTTTTCAATGATTGAAGATGATTTTGATCAATATATACGAAAATTAAATGAAAATAAATCTGCAGATTTTTCAGAAAAATTTCAAAATTTATTAACTTTTGTTAAAGAAAAATATTTTGAAGATTCTAAAATTTTAAATGACAGTATTGGAAAAGGGAAAGAAAAAGGAAGAAGTTTAAATCAAAATAAATGTAACATTATAGATGTTATAGCAGATGAAATGACATGTCCAATTAGTAATGAACCAACAGACCAATTATGTATTTTAAAATGTCAACATATATTATCATTAAATAATTTAAAAAATTTAAAACAAAAAAAATGTCCTATATGCAGAAAAAAACTTGAAAATAATGATATCAGATATTTACCACAGAATACTGTTTATAAAAATTTATATTCACAATTCTTTGATGCTGGACATATTTTACCAACTATTGAATTAGAAAATTCAGAACAAATAACAAATGACCAATATGATAGTAATTCAGATAATTCAGAAGTTGATCTTATTTTAACTAAAAAGAAGAAATTTATGAAAGCAATTAAATTAAATACAACTACTATATTATCAACAATATTTCCAAGAGTTTCAAAAAAACAACATCCAATATATCAAAGCATTATAAAAGAATTAAATGGAAAATATTACCAAAAAGCTGAATCATTATGTAAAGAATACTTAAAGCTTTTTTCTAAAGATTATCCTGTAAGATGTATTTTAGCCTATATTTATAGATGTCTTAATAATTATGAACAGGTACATTTATATTTAAAAGAAGCTATTAAGTTAAAACCAAAAGAACCAATTGCTTATTTTATTTATGGAGATATATTTTTTTGGCAAAGTGAATATGATAAAGCAATAGATAATTTAAATGTATCATTAAAATATAAAGTCAAATCAATTGCTAATTTATATATAATACTTGGAAATAGTTTTTTAAGAAAATTCCATTATGATAATGCTTTAAAGAATTATAATATTGCATTAGAAAATGGTCTAAATAATAATTTGTATCTTAAGTATCTTAAGAATTGTGCATACATTTATGAAAAGCAAGTAGATTATAAAAATTGTTTAAAGATATTAGACGAATTGTTAAACATTAATGATAAAGATTCATTAATTTTATGTTATTATGGAGAAATTCTTAAAAATTTAGGAAAGTATGGTGAAGCAGTAATATATTTTACAAAAGCAATTAATATAGATCCAGAAAATATTCATAATTTGAATAAAAGAGCTATTGCATATTTTGTTCTTCAAGAATATGATAAAGCTTTACTAGATGTTGATAAAGTTGTGCAATTAGATTCATCAAATAATTTAGCATACTATTATAAAGGTTTAACATATTATTCAATAGGAAATATTAAGAATGCTATAACTTCTTTTAAAAAATGTGTAGAATTAGACTCTAATGATAATTTATCAAAAATTCAATTATATTACATAGAATATTTGCAAGAGAAATATAGCTTTAAAGATTTAAAACATGATATTATAACAAAAATTGAACAAATTCCTGCTGATAATAATGATTATTCATTAAATTTTATGAAATGTAAAATATATATTGATTTGTTTATTATGAATCCTGAAGAATATATTATGAAATCCATAATAAATTTAGTTAGTCTATTTGTATTAAATAATGATGACATTTCAATTTTTTATTTATTACATCACAAGAAATATTCATATTTTTGGATGTATTACATGTCATACCTAAAGTGGAATGATGATATAACTGGACTTGGCATTGTTGACAATAATCCTTTTAACAAATTTTTATACAAAAGTAAGAGAATATTTAAATATATATATTATTTGTTATATTATACTAACACAATAAATTATTTCAGGGATAGGTGTTTATTTTATTTCTAACTTTTTAAATTTGAATAATGAATTTCATCAATTTCAAGTAAATGACACAAAGAGGTAAAGTTAGTTTGTATGTATTGGTTTACTAAATGTTTACATAAGTTAAATTACTTTTTTAAAAAAATATTAGCTTATCAGGGCAGATTTTATCTTTTGAGGGTAAAGCATTTAGTTTTAATTTACCCAATTTACGTATAAATTTGCGGCATTATGCTATTTGGAAAATTAATGTTAAAAAGATACTGTCTAAAGATTGCTCTATAAAATTTATAATTAATCATGAAGTAAGTTAATTAACTATAAGAATTTTCTTCTTTTAGATATTTTTTTAATTAATGTATTTTATTATATAATAGAATAAACATGTTTTAAAATTCGAAGAGGTGTCAAAACTTGAAGGATTAGGTTGGATTGAATATTCTTTTAAAATATCTGAAGACAGCAGTGGATTGGAATATAGTATACAACCCTCAATTGAAGTAAAATGTCTTAATATGGTACAGTAAATTATTATTTCATTTTATATTATTTATTTAAATAATAATTGATCTAGTCTTGTATTATTGCATATTGTTTAGCAAGTTGATTATATTAGATTTATATATGGTGAATCTAGAAAAGACAAACAAATTTACTTTCCCAAAATGGGTCATTTATTACCAATTTACAAAATTTGCCCAAATGTTCCAGAAGCTTTTAAGGACAAGTATTTTCCGAGAAAGGAGATGGAAAATCTGCTTACACTAAAAGATATAATTGATAACTTATAACTATTTATGCATTATTATTGTTTTTTTTTTAAGAAAAATTCCTGAAATTCAAAAAGTGAAATTCATGAAAAATATTTCCTGATAGATTGGGGTATTAAGTATTTTGTTATAAAATAATTCTTGTACTAAGCATACTTTAGTACTACTTTAGTCCTTATAAATTTATAATTTTTAACTAGATTATTATAAGAAAATATCATGATAACGTAAATTTATATAGAAAATCCTTTCTTCAATTTATATTGTCTTTTTTCCATTATTAATTAACTCTATATATATTCATTTTTTCGTAAACTAACTGAATAAAATTTATGAAAAAAGAAAATTCTGAAACGTTCCGTTAGTTTATATAGTTTATTTAGTGAAATATTTTTTTTGCGTCATTTATTAGCTTTTAAAATTTAATCAGTCAAAGAGGTACTTAAACATGAAAAAGCTAAAAATCATAAAAAAAAGCGCTTTCACATTCTTTTGTTAATTATAAATTGCATAAGTTTTATAAATCAAATCTTTTGATTGACGTTATTCGGCAACTTTTTACGATATAAAAAATAATTGATATCTTTATTATTTTATACTATATAGAACAAAATACATAGAATAAAAACCCTTAAATTTGTAAAGCATATCAAAATGAAGTTTTGTCATCTGTTGATACAAAACATTATTTAATACATTGGGTATTACCATTGCGCATCTCAAAAACCTGAGATTTTCACGTTCTTTTTCGTAAGCGTAAATATATAAATTCGTAAGAAAAATAAATATTAAGTAAAAAAGAAAAATTTTGTTAATGATAAATCAATAATTTATTAATAATTGATTTATTTAATGTCAATATAAATATGATATATATAATTATATATTGTCACTATCAAATTATCACTAATATAAATAATATAAAAGTGGTTGTGCTTGAATTGTACTTCTAATATCTGCTAAAGCTAATAAAGCTAAACTATTTCCATTATCAGCACTTTTTTGATACCATTCTAAAGCTTTTAACCTATCTATAGTAGTTCCAATACCAAATTCATAACATCTTGCAAGATAATATTGACCTAGGTCATAATTTTCATTATTAGCAGCTTTTAAAAACCAATTAAAAGCTTCTACTTCATTTTTTTCAATACCTCTACCTAATTCGTAAGCACTTCCTAAATTAGTTTGTCCATATTTACAACCTGCTATAGCCGCTTTTTTAAACCATTCATATGATCTATAATAATCAACAGTAGTACCCTTTCCTTGTAAGTAACATAAACCTACTTTATTTAACGCTGTTACGAATCCTTGATCTCCAGCTTTTAAATACCAGGTAAACCCTTTACTTTCATCTTTTGCGCAACCATTTCCGGTTTCATAATACGCTCCTAAATTATATTGTCCATATTTATCATCCGCTTTAGCAGATTTTTCAATCCAATAGAAAGCTTTTTGCTTATCGACTGCTACACCGGTTCCCATATCATAACATAATCCTATTTTATTATATGCTGGTACAAATCCACTTTCCGCAGATGATTTATAAAAATTATAAGCTTCAGTCGCATTTTTTGGAACTCCTTGACCATATTGAGCGTATGTACCAGCTATATAAGCCGCGAACGAATTTTTTTTGGATGCTTCTTTGTACAATTCATACGCTTTTGGTAAACTAACTGTAGTTGTTCCAATAGCAAGTTGATGAAATAATCCTAATAGTACCTTATTGATCATTAAAGATTGATTCGCATTACAAAAGTCAAAAACTTTATTTTCATTTTGAACTGTCTTGTTTAAATATTGTATTATATATAAATCATTAAGTTTTGATATATCCATCTCGCATTTTGCTACTTTATCATGAAATGTTTTGTACATTTTTGTAACATATTCTTGAGTAACTGGAGCTGTATTTTGTGGTGGTGGTGTTGTCAATCCAAGAATAAGTGATGTAATTTGTTGAGGTGATAAAATAAAGTCTATTGTCAAAGGTGAAATCGCCGAATTTGCCGTTCCAGAATTATTTAAGAAAGGATTTGTAGGAGGAACCAAAGGATTTGTAGGAATTGTAGTAGTAGGAGGTGTATTAGTTGTATTAGTTCTAGTAGTAGAAGTGTAGGGGGAACTTCGAGAATTTGTATAAGTAGTTGTAGTCGTGTTGGTAGTAGGAATATTGGGGATAGTAGGAATATTAGGGGAAGTATAAAGTTGGCTTGATGTAACTGGTTTGTGAGGTGCAGTGTACGAAGTTGGTTGTGTTGAAGACGTTGAAGGTATTGAAGGTGTTGAAGTCGTTGAAGACGTTAAAGGTTTTGAAGGTGTTGAAGTCGTTTTTATTGACGTATCATTTATAGTTTCAGAACCAGGTTGGGAAGCATTATAAACGAAATCATTTTTATCATTTCCACCAAGTTCTTGCAAAGAATTTACTATTTGATGGATACTAGGTCGTTCTTTTATATTCTTACTCCAACAAGCTAAAATATTTTTTTTAAAAAAAAGTATTAGTGGAAGAACGAACGAAATCACGTGATGTATCAACGATTTACGTACATTTACAAAGTTCCTTGTATTGTTTTTTATAATCTATAGGTATATTGTCCATTTTAATTTCACGATGTTCCAATGGAATTGATTTCAAGTATGTTTCCCAATTGCTATTAATATAATAATCAACATGTTGAGTAAGTTGAAACAAAATAATTCCAAACGATAAGATATCATATTCTTTTGGATGATCTTGTTCTTTATCTTTTTTCCAAAACGTGAACTTCTCTTTTAAGGCACGTTTTTGAGGGACGTTATTTTTAAGTATTCCGAAATTGGCCAATTTAATGGTATTATTAGGATACAATATACTTTCTGCTGTCTATAAAGATCATATATATTGATATTTTTGAACGGAACGAAAAAAAAAAAATAATAATAAATAAATTAAAAAATAAAACTTACCAAATTCTTGTGGGCGATATTATTTTCGTGCAAAAATTTTAAACCTTTCGCAATTTCAAGCGCAAGGCCAGCTTTTATGTTCCAATCCAAATAATCATATAAATCTTGCAAATGATCCGAAAAGGTATTACATTCAACGTATTCCAATACAAGAAAATAATCATCTTTCGTTTGATCTACATAATTGATAATTTAATTTAATTTAAAAAAAAATGGTTTAAACAAGAAATTTATACAATTTCATAAATTACCTTTAGTGATACCATAGAATTTTAATATGGATTTATGAGTACCAGCCTCCCACATTAATTTAATCTGATGAGCAAATAAAATAATTAGTTAAATTTTAAAAATGCTGCGCCATTTAACGACCAACTACCGTTCTATTACGTCGCTATTAAAAGGATTTTACAATTTTTTACTAACCTCGTTAACACTTTCGTGAATATCATCAGTAGGAATCGGTTTTAACATAACGGAAACCTTGTTTTCTTTTAATGTCGCAATTTGAACGTTTCCGAAATTTTTCGACTCTATATTACGAACATTTTCGAGTTCTTCAAATTTATATCTCTTAATATTAAAAGAATTAAATTTACTTTCAAGGAACTCGATTACTGAGAGTTCCGCTACGATAACTTTCTTTTTTGCCATTTTATTTTATTTTTTTATTTTTTATAAATTAACGAAATTAATAATGATTAATATTTCGTTTTAAAAAGAAAAAATAAAAGGTAAAAAAAAAAAAAAAATGGAATAAAAAAAATTTAAGAAGTGTTTAAGTTAATAATTAGATTACCAGAAAAAAAGAAATGGAGCAAAAAAAATTTAGCAAGTGAATTGAATTTAAAATAAAAAAAAAAAGTATTTTTTTCCATTAAAGTAATTAAAACGACCACATGAAAAGTTTCCAACCTATGGATTTGTTTATGTTGTAAGTTTCTTTGTTTTTTTTTTAAATTTTCTAATTTCATTTCAAGTTTTGTTACACAATCAACTAATAATCATGCTGTACATTGAATATCACGATACATTACATTCAATTTCATTTGTAAAATATTGTAAAAATGCACCCACTCTTGAAATTTACTTCTTTATTTACTCTATAAGAATATTCTGAAACGGAAAGAACATAAAATACATACTCCGGCTCCGTAACTAATTACCAAAATAATACATATAATGACATACAACATATGTGTTTAAATTTAAATTCGAACGTATTTGATTGGACAAAAAATCATTCATTTATTTGTTATGTTACTTTTAAAACAAAAGAAAATAAATTTGGTAAAAAAACAATCAATATTTATATATTTACATATACATGGGGAAAAAAAAACTTTTTATAATCTTTAATTTCATCATAAACTAGTTTTTTTTTCAAGTTACGTTAAAGAAATCTTATTACAAATTGAAGTATTTTTTATATATATTTAATAAATTATAAAACTCCAAAATATTCAAATTTTTACAATCATACAATTGATTTTTATGGACATACTGTAATGTGCTACGCTTGTTTTTTTAACTTTACAACGCTATATTATATTTTAGTTAAATAAAACTGATCTTAGAAAATTAATCAAATTTATTCAGAAAAGATATCGATTTTAATTAACTTGAATGTTCGTGAATTACGAATATTTTTTGTAATTTTATTATTTTATGGACACCATGCAGATCATGTAGTCACGTAGTCACTACATATGAATTTATATTGTAACATTAAAGATCGGCAGAATTGCATAAGCTTCCCGGGTAGTACCCGCGAATTGAGGAGATACAAAGGGGCACATGCCGGAATAAAGTGCTAGTTTTTCCGGCATTAAGAGGAGATGCAGTGTACAAATTTGAATTTTCGGCCAGAATTAATTTAGACGTACAGTAGTAGATCAATAAATTTTGCTACGGCGTAAATTTGTTTATCACGTTACGACGTTACGTCGTTACGTCGCTACGATATCAGATATATCAGGTACGCCCACTTTATTTTGGCACTACTTTGAATACTCTGAAACTCCATCGTATTCTACATCATGCATAAACTTACCTTTCATTTACTTATTCCTAAAATTTTTTTTTTTTTTATTTTCCTTAGTTATATTTCTAAAACTGACGAAGCTAAGAAAAATTAACTTGAATGCTTCTTTTTTTTATCAAAAGAAAAATCGAAAATTGAATCTTTTTTTTTGCATTTTCGGTCAAAACAGTGCATGTAGCGCAATATAACGTTATAATAATTCTTATAAAACGATGTAAAAAGATAAGATTCACTCTATAAATTTTCCGGATATGAGAAATTCAGTATTTCAAGCCTCCAGTTCCAATTATTTCTAGTAACGTCTCTTGCGTAAGTATAAATGGCACTTGTATACAAGAAAATAAGGAAATTAATTATCAAATTCTTGAAAATTTTATTAAAAAATATAATTACCGTATTTGTTTTTATCAATTCTCTTCAAAAAAAAACTTAGAATAGGTAGTACGTCGGTATCATATATATTTTTATGAGTTAATGATGGTTTATTACATTTATGGAAAATTTAACTTAAGAAGTTTAATGAAACTTAATAATTAATTAAAAACAAAACTTCAAAAGCGTCGGTTAAGAAGAAAAAACTTTCTTGGTCAAGATTTTACAGGAAAACGATCTGTACCTTTTCCTATATAAAAAAATTTCTCAAACTTAATAGGTAAAAATGAATTTTATTAGAAAATTATTTAGATGACGTCTATTGTATTTACGGTATGTTAATTCTTTATGGCGATTGTGAGTTGTGACTATAAAAAAAAAAATTTTATCGTGTTATTTATTTGGCTTTGTCGCTGATAGTGTTCCTTTGAACCATCTCAAGCATTTTAAATAAGAACGACAGTTGTGAATTTATTTTTCAATAATAAAATTTTTTTGATTATGATTCGAACGATCGAAAATCAAATTTATTAAAGTGTTACCATTTTGGCCCGCATTATAAAATTATTCACGTGAAAAATCATCAACCATACTGTATACTGTCGCTTTATTCATATCTAACAGAAATTACATAATGTGGACATCAAATTATAGTATATATAAATAGTTAAATATAATATCTCTTAAAAATTTTTTTTTGCTTTTAGTCTTTTCCTCTAAGAAACTAGTAAGAAACTCCTTAAAGTAAGTGAATATTTCGGCATTCTATTGACAAATATCAAGCTTTTAAGGATGACTTTGATATCTCCTTTGCTTTTTTTTATGTATACTCTGTGGTATATTAAATATATGGATCACCAATTATTTCATTTCTACGATAATTGTCCAAGGGAGGTTTCCATATATACTTGTTGTTGGTATATCTGCAGGGCTACAAAATCAAGATCACTAATATACCAATCATCATTAAATGGTGAATATAATATGTTTCCAGAATGCAAATTATAAAGTGGAATAAATAATATTAATTCTTTCTTCCCATGTAATTTGATTATTATGTTGTTGTAAATATTCTCTTAAATTTATATTGATTCTATTCATTACAAGCATATAATTTCCATTTGATGGATTTTGTTTTAAACCAAAACAACATTTATTACTTATAGTTATATGTGATTTAGCCTGCGTAAAACATAATTTTGTATCCTATTCTTCATGTTTTCCATCAATCCAAATTGCCGTATAAATTTTCTTAAATATTCAATATTTTGTAATTATTATATGGAATCCATTCAACTATTTTATTTGGTATGAGTGTTTTTAATTGACATTTTCATATTAAATTATCAATAACATTATTTCCAGATGTCCAATTTAAAAAAATATTCTTTTAAATAATTTTGAACACAAAATTTACAATATAATGTTGCTAAACATTTTTGATTACAATTTTCACATTCTTCTTGCTCCTTCATTAAAAAGAATTTTATTCTTGTCATAATTTTTATTATTTGTTCTTATAGCTAGTAATAGTTTCAAAAATAGTGACAAATCATCATACATTCGTCTGCTAGAAAGTTCCTTTATGTTACTTCTTGAGTAATAATAGTCTTAATATACGGATAACAATCATTTTAAACATGTTACAATTGTTACATGTTATTAATTTTTCCAAAATAGAAAAGACCATATTTATTTACTCAATTTTGGAATTAGACGGATATAGAGAATGATGTTTCATTCATTATTTGTCAGATCCAAAAGGGTGATAATTTCATAAAACGAAAGTTAATATAAATATGTATATTGAAATATTTTAAATACAGCAGTAAATATTTTAGAGTTTGCAACGATACGAATTGAAAATATATTGAAATTTTTTGATAACAGATATTTAACTAATCTCAACCTGTTTTAATCTTTTGAAGTCTGATAGTATAAAAATTAATTCATATTCTTCCATATTGACAGAATCAATGTATTTTTTTTGTATCTAAATTTTGAGATATGAATTAATGTGGATTTTTCACTTCCCTTTCACTTATCTCATTCACATTCATTTTTTACACGCTTAACCGTATAGAGAAATACCCGGGGTTTCAAATAATTTTTTTGAATGAAATTCTCTAGAGCGTAAACTTTATACAGTAGACCAGCACACTCTAAAAGTCCGCCGTGGTAAGGCCGTAATAGAGTCTCTCAAAGTGAAAATATTATTGAGTACTGTGTACACACCTTTATATAAAAGGGAAGTAATTTCACTTATTTTCAAAGAAAGTTATTAATTTTTTAATGTTAATAATAGAATCTGGCGCTTTCATAAAATAAAATACATTTATACATAAACTAAAATACTAAATATGCACGATAATTCCCGATTGCTTATGCTAAAATGCCCTCATTTATTTCCATTTTTTTATATTTTTAATAGAAACTTTTCTATTTGTTTGTTCTTTTAAGTCGTCATACAATAAATTTGTGTACTGAAACGAGTTTCTAAAAATAAGAGAAAATATTACATATATAATAAATGAAGCCAAAAATCGGCTAAAATTAAATAAAATTGTGACAATCTGGCCACACTTTGTTTTGCATAAAAATCGAATGGAGTCTGATCTGCCAAGGCAACTAAATTTTGTAAATTTTCAAAAAGTAATTATTTTAGACAGTTCCTTAATAAGTTCTTTTGCTTTTCCATCAGAAGTTGTAAATACTTCCTCTCTTAATTTTAGAATAATACCATTTTGAAGATGTTTTCATGTGAAGCCATTTTATATGAAACAGAGTATTTATTCTGGAGGAGTATTACTGAAAGTACTTCCGCTATAAATAATATGAAAATATGAAAATCCAATTTTAATTGATTTAAATATTGAAGTTATTCAAAATTATAATCCACCTGACTTGAATTTTTATCCATATTTTTTTTTTTTAATTTTGTGCAATTATAATTTGTCACTCCCAATTAGGAAAATTTTGGATCCATTTAAATAAAAAAAGTGCCCACCATTATAAACATCACATTAATAATTAATTGTGACGCAGTAGAATAATTTATCGAGTTTTACGCTTGTCAAATTACAGTATGATTGGCCAACGTTACAACATAATAAAGACATCTCACATTAAATACCCTTTTTTATTTTTTATATGTTAAAATTAATATTATGATAAGCTTGAAGCTGATTTTTTTGCGTAATTTAAGATTTTACTCGTAATAATATAAAAGTGAAAAAATTAATTGTAATTCATACTGTACACTCATTTTAAATTTGTACGAAAAATGTTTGGAAAATAAAAAGTATATTTTATAGTTATGAAGTTGAGTTTATTACATATTTTAAAAAAATATTTC